TGTTAGCCATAAACGCCATTTGCGAGTTATGTTAGCGGCGGTCCTTAGGTGTGTTAACTTAACGTCACGTTAACAGCCTGTTAAAAGTTAACAGAGTTTTGAACAACAAGATAACCCTCTGTTATTAGGTAACACTCGGTTAAATGTACTTAACGGCTGGTTTAAAGATAACCGAGTTTTGAACAACCGGGCCCTGATAGACGAGTGTGTGTCTCTGTTAATGGAACATTATGAAAAACTAAATGTTACTGCAGGGGTTCCTCAAGGATCTGCCCTTGGTTAATTTGTGTTCCTTGTATATATCAATGATTTACCTGGAAATTTACAAAATATCACAATAATGTTGGCCGATGACACATCAATCGTCGTTGCGGGAAAGTATGTAAAATCCATAGAAGAAACTCTCAACTATGATTTAGCCCAATTGAATAAATGGGCAGAAAAGTGGTGTGGTGTGTTCTAACGGTTATATCTAGCATACTTTAAGACAGAGGGGGGTGGTGGTGGTTCTAACGGTTATATCTCAACTACATGTAGAGGCGGGAGGCCTAACGGGTATGAACAACAATAAAAACTTTCATGCATTTATGACCCAAATTTTCGAACCTTTTATCAGTCTCTAAAAGGGAGCTGGCAATAGATTTTAATGAGCTTCGTCCTTCAAGCCTGAACACCTTTTAATGTGGTTGATTCATCCTTTGTCATTTATCATAAAAAGTAGTGAGGTTGTGCTTTATTGTTATAGATATCTAAAATATATGGACACTATTTGTTGGTAACTGTCATCAGACATTATTTGACGACATTTCTCATGGTTTGAATATAGCCGACTTAATAGAAGATAAATATCAGTTTACAACGCAACTGCCTAAATCTTGGTATTTTCGAAACCAGAGAAGGGATATGCCGATATTTAGGTCGTTAACCTAGCATATTATGGTCACGAATATAATTTTCTATTTATTACCGAAGTCTTTAATTGCGGAAATTACGCGATAATCTACTTTCCAACAAATGCAGGCTCTCCGTCATCGTTGTATTTAGAAGGCGGCTTCTTGGAAGCAACGTGACGTCTTAACATTGTTCATGATGTCATGTCACCATGACAAAGGGATATTTTACCCGGTGCATATTGCATGAAAACAAATTATCCCCGATATGTTTGCCCTCGTATGTTATAAGCATTAACTTGTTTGAGTGGCATTTTAGAAGTTAAGACGTACAATATGGAACAAGTTTTTATGGATAACAACTTCTTTATTTCGTGAGTGCGACGTTTCGATACAGATTCTTGTACCGTTGTCAAGCAAGAGTGATACATGAAGTGGAGGAGCTGCATATTTATACTGTGTATAACAAAGAAACTACATACATTGTAATTGACAAAGGAAACAACATAATTGCCATAATTGGTAAAGCAGTAAGCTGATGAAGCAAGTGAGTACACAAAGGATAGTCAATGGAAGCCAGAGATGTATAAATACAGGATTGGTACAATGAAGGAGATGTTTATACAATAGGTGCGATGTTTATACAATAGATTGGGCTTGGTGGAGGAGTGGATCATAAGCTGATGGAATGAAGTATCCTTGGTCACGGTTGATGGTGGGCTTATGGCGTTTGATGTGAATGGCTTCGGTGAGCTTGCGTTTAGTGAAGTCCGTTTGGTTGTTGGCGAGAATGGTGAAGTCGGACCACTCTATTTGATGATTGGGGTTTGCTTTGATGTGGTCAGAGATAGCTGATTTGGTGTCGGAGTTAGCAACAGAGGTGCGATGTTCTTTGACTCGGGTGTTGATGGGTCGGGATGTTTCACCTATGTAGCTTTGTCCACAATCACAGTTTATTTTATAAATAACACATTTCGGGTTGTTGTTGTTGACGGTGGGTTGTTTTCTTCCGTTGGCATGGAGGAGGTTGTTGAGGCTGGAGGACGCTGAGAAGGTTGTGTCTATGCCTGCCTGTTGTTTCAGGAGTCGGCTGATTTGATGTGATGGTTTACCTATGTAGGGAATGGATATCTTGATGGGGGCTGATTCTGGTTTAGATCTTTTGGCAGGAGGTGAAAGCGTTGCTTCGATGGTTCTGTTGACTATTTCAGGTGGGTAGTGGTTGCGTTCTACAAAGACTTTCCTTAGGTGTTCAATTTCTTCTTGTAGGTTTGTTGAGCAGATGTTTTTGGCTCTTCTGGTCAATGTAGAGATGACGCCGGTCTTGACTTTAGGGGGGTGGTTGGAGTTGTAGTGGATGTATTGATCCGTATGGATCCGTTGTGGACCTATTCACCAATGTACCTCGGGAAGAAGCCCTTCAAGCACTACGCCACAGAATTGACAACCTCCAACAACCCCTCAACACTAGCCTCTCTACCGACTCTATCACAGCTATGTGGCAAGGAATAACCAGGCGCCAGCGATTTATGATATCCTTAGCAAATGTAACTTAAAATTCCCTCTCATAAAAATACAATAATATGTAGTAATATGATGAAGAAAATAATACGAACCAGGTTAAACTATGACAACGCAATATATGAATGTATGATCGAAACATAAATCATAATAAATCACATATGATTAAAACATTAAATTAACTTCAAATATGTCATTGCGTCAACATTGAAAATAATTCGAAAATGAAGAAAAAGAAACGTGCAAGCGTAAACAAACAATATCCTGTTATTTTGGGATATGCTATGAAGAACTTCAAAATGTAATAGAAATAACATTAAATTATTGAAAGCTATTGCTCGTAAAATATGTCCTCGCGTCAACATCGAAAATAACTCCATAATGAAAAACAATTAACTTTAATTTTCAAAAATTACCCAAATAATCTCTGGCTTTTTTAAGACGTGTCACGAATTATTTCACAGCTGGTAGAATTAACATGAAATTATAGAAACCATATGCTAACAAAAATTAGTAAATTAGTAATGACAAAGCGTTTGTCACAAACATATAGCTATTACCCCCCGCCACATGTCGATATCTGAATGTCGCAATTATCCTCTGTCTGACCCTGAAAATTATGTAAACGTTACCGAAACTGTCATCTGATGCCTTGATACAACATGTGAACAAATTCCATCCATTAGGTTTGGAGATATCGCAAGAATACTCGCTGTGACCTTGAAAATAATCCGAAAGTCACTGAATTCGACTGGCGTTAGACGATACTCCCAACGCATGTTGGTACTACCTTTAAGCAAAACATATTAATTCTGTCTTGTATTTTCGCACTAAAAAGTTAGACATGTGCAAAACACTAAATTCAAGTGGTGTCGGTAAATCTCAAATCTCCAGTCAATAAACCTTGGTACCAAATTTGAACAAAATCCTTCATTTCCTTCTCGAGTTCTTTCAATAAACAGAATGGGTAGTCATTTGAAGAAGCGATTGTAGTTTCGAAATTGCTTTTTTGTGCAATTTAATATCTAAGTTTGATTCTAGCCGACTTCTACCAATCTCAAACATCGCATATTTTGTTTCCTGAAGTTTGTGATGCATTTTATTGCAGATTTTATGTTTTTTGGGAGTACCAAGCCAAGATACAAAGTCTCACAAAATGGGGATCGTGAGGCTGCAACATAGCAAAACCAATTTGCTTGAGGCTGACAGATAATATGTAGAAAAATAAAACATAAAAACAGCTGCATTTGTATCATATTCTAGGTGAGGCTGACTACTATTTGAACGTCCCTCGTAGTTATACCCATTAGAAAACCCACCCACCTCTCCGACTCTACATGCATGCAAGTGTGTTAGATATACCCGTTTGAAACCCACCCCTACCCCACCCCCCTTTTATATATGTATACATATCAAAACCTCAAAAGATATTTGCGAAAAGACATGATACAGAGGACAGTTTATATCGATTATATATCAGGACGAATATCATTTTCGTCATTTAGCTAAGATTTGTCAATTCATTCTTGGGTTATCGCGCTAATAATCTTTATATTGGCAAAACCCTCAGATTTTTGCTGTGACCTTGAAAATTATCTCAAGGTCACTCCATTTCACTTGTGTCGGTGAATCTCGCCAATATACCTTGGTACCAAATTTGAACAAAATCCATCATTTTTTTCTCGAGTTATCGCCCTAACAAGCTTATTTGATGTATGAAATGCACCGAAAAACAAACACCCGCGAATTTACGAGTGATTAAAACTGTTATTACAATTTACGTAAACATTTATTACATTTTACCGCAACGAAAATTATTACAATTTACGTCAATTTTTATTACAATTTGCGTATTACAATTTACGTCAATTTTTATTACAATTTACGTTTTTATTACAATTTACGTCAAGTTTATTACAATTTGCTGCAAGTATTACAATTTGCGTTTTTATTACAATTTACGTCGTAACAGGCTTGCTGCCCAGCTCGGAGAGTCACGCACGGTCGAGTGAGTGAGTGAGTGAGTGAGTAAGGTTTTACGCCTTTTTGAGTAATATTCCAGCAATATCACTACGGATGACACCACGAAGAGGCTTTACGCATTTTACCTATGTTGGGAATCGCACCTCGGTCTTCGGCGCGACGAGGCAGCTATTTAGCCTCTGGGCTACCCCATCGCACTAGCCGATATTATTAGGGCCAGGAGACTACATTACACGATTCATAAAGAAGACTTTCAGAATCGGTATAGTTCACGAGGATAAATTCCAGTAGGGGATACGGATTCTCATTGTGATTGGAAACTGACGTCTCACTTGACGCCGATGCTACAATTTTCATGTTTCTCTTAGGTCTATCGACAGCTATGGTGTAACGTTTATACGAGTGAGTGAATTAGAATTTTCAATCGCATCTGCACTATTGCGATGAGAACAAGCCGACTTTAATTAAATGTATCTCATCAAAGGAAAGTAAAATAGTATTTTGAGTATCAAAGTTTAGGTATAAAACATACCAATTCAATAGCGAAAAAATACACTTTCTCAGAATATAATAGAGTCCATATGAACATACAGAACAAAGTCCTACCTTCTAAACACAGCGGGGATTTAGTCACACGATGCACACTGCATCGCCTCCCTGACGGACACGTGTGATCTGCGCAGGGGCCAACGAGTTCCTTAAAATAAACAAAATATTTTCAGCAATTATATACATTCCCAGTGTTAATTGGAAATTACTCATGAAAAAAAAGAAGTCATATATAAAAATGAATGCAAATATATCGGGCACAAATATCCATCGTTAGCCAGGAACATCAGGCATTGATAGGTAGTGGTTGAATAACAACTTGTCATAAAACCACCAAACCGTTTCCATAAGCATGACCGTTCAGCCATATGCTTGGTCCAATGTGCACTTATGAGTATCATAATCATCGGTGACAAATGGATGTCAGAGGCAGTTACTAATTCTGACTTGTACCATACGTTTCCGTTTTTGCATCATATGGACGATTGGCTAGCCATTGTATGTGTTAATGACGGGGCCACCGATGAGGCAGAATACGATCATCTTTCACGAATACTATCATCATATTTAGCAAAATAATCTTATGGTGTGGAAAGGGGTTTGCAGCTTTTACTTGTGTATCACAATCATATAGTCGTGGCACCTTGTTTCCGGGTAAAGACGAGTGTATCCCTCCCCTAAACATGTCACTTTGTCATTGGGTAATGACTTTCTCATACGACAACATAATCAGTATATTTTCACACACACACGCTGCCCCTCTGGATCCACGTTCATAGACGTATTGGCAATATAAAGCACATTCATACATGGGGAGACATACCTTCGGCCAGTGTGAAATATCGCTGTGTTTCCACGGTGGTTTCGTCACCAGATCGGTTGGTGCTGATGAACTGTCTTTCTTGTGAAGGTGACAGGTGCGCAGATTAGGTTCGAATCCAAATGAGGAACAGCCAAGATGGGCATAGCATTCCACGGCACACTCACGTGCAGCAGACACCCTTCCCTTAATGATGCCAAATAAGTTGTTTTCCAGATAACGGTCATCTTCTGTGATTGATGCTTCATTGAAGCAAAACAGCTGAACTGGACAAATGAAACTTACAATGAAACACAGAATATACGGGACCATCTTAATGCGCTGCAGTTTGATAACAGCGACGCTAGTTTTGTGTTGCTGTAGCTCCATGCATCCCATGTGTTTACATCCTGTGCGGCAGAATATCGATTTTATACATCTCCTTACATACAGTTTGCATTAACTATGCATGGCTTTGTCTCAACTTGCTGCCCCTCGTGTGATGATTATGCAGCATTATGCAACCATATTGACTTCTTCAGTGGCGCTGATTACAAAGTAGAAGGATCTGGAAAGCCTATTCTTGAACCATATGCCTTCGGGACTATTGCTGATTTTTCTCGGATTCTTTTATGGAAAGATAGAGGAGCGACTTATTGCCTCTCAGCTCACACTACATCTAAAGTCAACAGAAGACCAGCTTTGTCTCCCAGACTTATTTGCTAATATCCATTGTTCTTGTTGTGAATAACTTTGATGCATGTTGTCTTATTTAATCCATGTTACATGTGTAATAGTATATGTCTAGATGTCTGTTCTGTGCTGAAGTGAAGTGAAATCTTCCTTGATAATGGTATAAGAATTTATTCTGAAACACGTCAGGTATCACTTCAGTGACAGTGGCGTATGTATATTAATCAATAATTAGATAAACATACGTCGCTTCCCGCTGTAAAGAGGAGAGATATACGCTGGCGACTGAGTTCATACTGCAGATTTGAACATTCATCTCAAACTATTGTGATAAGGTGAAAGTCGTAATAATTCCTGGGCATTAGAGATTATATTTGTTAGATTTCAAGCATTATTTTTTAGTTTTCATGGCCTATGAAGTCACTTTATAGGTGCTTCATTTAGCATTTTGTCCAGGTTTTTTTTTGGTTAGTCCCGGTTATCTCGTCAAAAACAATCATGGCTACGGCCAGTCGCATGTGTTGCATGTTTCAACTTTATGTAGGGTTCAAGGGCATATAAATTTGTAAGTATGCTAATAATGTTGTTAATATAACCTAAATGCAATATCCAATTGCCTAAAGTAATATCAGTAAATATTTCTTGAGAATTTCTAAGATTTAGTGCACTAGTTATTTTCGATGTTAAAATCCGGAAAGCTGTAATATTTTTTCTTGTAGTATTTTCGACAGTTACTTATTATTGTGTTTCTGTTTGTTTAAGCTTGCACCTATTCAGCTGTGAAGTTTGCTCATAAATAAGCAATAAAGGCTGGATTGAGTTCAAGATTTGTGGTCCCTATATTTTGAATCCTATATAAAAGTGCAAGAAATTTATGGTTCAAGTTAATTCAAGTAAGACAATATGAATAAAGAACCCAGTGAAATTTACAGTTGGCTGAGGGCATATACGGAGCCTAATGTGACTATGAATCAAGATGAGGTGAATTCAGAGCGAGTTCTTCAATTGAATAAGGAAAGGGCAGGTTTGCAAGCTGCATTTACAAAGACAGTAAATAAACTAAATGACCTCCTAGCAGACAAAAACTCTGACATGAGTGTTATTGAAGATTCACTGAAGTCTGTTGAAAAAACTTATGAAATCTTATCTGGAAAGTGAGACGGATTCAAGAATGCACTACTGTAGAGGAAGGTGAGAAGCTCGAATTCTACAAATCGCAAATCTTTGATAGACTATATAAGGTGAAAGTAGAGGTTGAAGCACGACGTCAAGATGCGGTAAACCCGGGTGACTCAGCCAGTCAGGTGGGAAGCAGCACAAGTTCTACAAAATCTAAGATAGCAGCTAAGAAGGCAGCTCTACAAGTAAAGCAACAAGCTTTGAGGAAATCTCAAGAATTAAAGCTGAAAAGGTTACAAATTGAAATGGATGAAGAAAAGCACAACATTGAAACAGAACTTGCCATCGCAGATGCTGAAATAAAGGCCATAGAAGAAATAAGTGGGGTACAAAAGTCTGTACATCATGAAAATAAGGACAATACTCCTCAGGATGTGCAGAACAGGAAAATTCCTGACAAGAAACCTGTCAATCAATTTAATCCCAATGCACCGCCATGGATGGGTCAAAGCAAGGTTAATGAGACTCCTCAAGTTCGTGTTGACACTTATGATGCTCTGCAATTGCCCAAGGTGGAAATTATGACATTTGATGGTAATCCGCTCAAATACTGGACTTTCATCAGATCTTTTGACAATAGCATTGGTCATACAACCATCAGTGAAAGTGCGAAGTTAAATCATCTTGTGCAGTATTGTGACGGACCTGCAAGAGAGGTTGTGGAATGTTGCCTGATAATGAACCCAGATCAAGGATATACACGGGCAAGACAACTCCTGCTCGAGCGATTCGGCAATCATCATATCATTGCTAAAGCTTGGATTGACAAGGTGACAGGATTACCCAACCTGAAGCCTAATGATAGTGTGAGCATGCGCAAGTATGCAGACTCTATCAGAAGTTGTGTTGTTTCATTATCAGCTATGAGCAACCTGAATGAAATTGACAATCAACCCCGAATGAGGAAAATTATTGACAAGATGCCTGTGTATATTCAAAATAGTTGGCGGAAAGAAGCAGTGAGTGTGTTGAGACACACAGGGTCTTATCCAGGGATTGAACACTTAGCCAATTTCATTGAGAATGTGGCTGAGGAGTTGGATGATCCAGTATTCGGGGTTAATGTGAATGTCTCTACTGCAAGACTACGCAAAGGCGTGAATCCAAGTTTAAGTCATCATCCAACTTTTTAGCTGAAGCAAATCAAGGTGATACTGAAAACTCTTGTGTGAAACAAGTTCAGTTATCATGCAAATGCTGTCAGGGCAGTCATCCGTTATTCCAGTGTCCGGCTTTCCAAAAACTCAGTGTTCCAAAGAGGCTGGAGCTCGTGATTAAGCATAAGCTATGCTTCAACTGTTTTTCCTCACGACACATATTACCCGATTGCAAGAGAGAGACTTTTTGTGATGTGACCAGTTGCAAGCGGAGAGGTAAGAAACATTCTTACTTGCTGCATGATCATTCAAGATCTTATGAGAAGTCAAGTGAACCTTCATCCAACAAGTCTGCGACAAAATTAGAAAGTCATCTGCCATCAAGCGAACAGACTAAGAACGAGAACATGTTTGTGAATGGATCCGTGTATGGCGCTAATGGGGCCGGAGGTAAAAGAATAGCCTTACCTATAGTTCCAGTCTGTGTTAAGGGTCACAACAACAATATCAGAACTTTCGCCTTACTTGATCCTGGAAGCACAAATAGTTTCTGTTCAGAAGAACTTGCCAATTCTCTGGGTCTAAAAGGAAATAGAACATTGTTGTCATTGAGTACACTAACTGACAGAAATAGTGAATCACAAAGTAAAGTTGTCTCCTTGAAACTGACAGACGTCGAGGGAAAGAATTCTGTCGACATGTCACATGTGTTTGTGCTGCCACAAATGCCGCTAGTGGAAGGAAGTGTCGTCACACAGAGAGACATTGAGGATTGGGAGCATTTTCGGGGGATTGACTTTCTGATTCTTGACGGACCATTAGCAAAGGTGACAATACTAATCGGACAAGACAATCCTACTGTACTAATAGAGGTCAGAACTGGTAAAGCTAACCAACCATATGCTACCAGGACCAAACTAGGATGGGCTATAAATGGACCCCTACGAAGAGGCTCACAAAAGCATGTCACTGTCAACTTCGTACAAGAGAATCTTGAAACACAAGTGGAGAGATTTTGGCAACTAAGTGAAGTTATGACAAATGACATTGCGCTGTCATTTCAAGACAAACAAGTCATCAAGCTGTGGGACTCTACAGTTGAGAGGGAGGACAAACATTATAAACTGCCAATTCCATTCAAGTCAAACCCACCAAGACTGCCGAACAACTACAGTGCAGCAGAATCAAGGCTACAATCATTAACCAGGAAGTTAATGCGAGACGAAGGACTGTCTCAAGGCTACAAGGCAGGTATTGATGATATGCTGCAGAAGGGCTATTCGGAAAGAGTTCCACACGAAGAAATGAACGTTGACAATGGGTACACATGGTATATCCCACATCATGTCGTCCTCAGTGACAAGAAGCCTGGTAAGTTCAGGATAGTGTTCGACTGTTCAGCTTCCTACTGTGACGCAAGCTTGAACAAAGCAGTGTATCAAGGGCCAGACCTGACTAACTCCTTACTCGGTGTGCTTCTGAGATTCAGGCAGCACAAGATAGCTCTGGCAGGTGACATTGAATCAATGTATCACAGAGTGAAGGTGGCTGATCATCATCGGGACTCGTTGAGGTTTCTGTGGTGGAAAAACCAAGTATTAGGAGGTGAAGTGGAGATCTACAGAATGACTTCACACCTGTTTGGAGGAATATGGAGTTCAAGCTGCGCTAACTACGCACTGCAGAAGGTAGCCTTGGACAATGTTGACGATTTTGACAGTGATGTCATACAGACTGTGAAGGACAATTTCTATGTTGACGATTGTCTAAAGTCAGTCCAATCTGAACAGGAAGGAATCAAATTGATCAAGGATCTGTGTGAGCTCCTGCAAAGGGGATCCTTCCGACTCACCAAATGGTTGAGCAATAGCAGAACAGTGTTGAGCAATGTCGCTATGGAAGAGCGAGCCAAGAACTTGAAAGATCTGGATCTGTGAACGAGTGATCTCCCACAAGATAAGGCTCTTGGAATTAAGTGGGACACAGAAACAGATGAGCTTTACTTCAAGTTCATTCCAAAGTCCAAGCCACTCACCAAGAGAGGACTGGTAAGTGTCATCTCTTCGATATACGATCCTCTGGGATTCCTCACCCCATTGATCTTGAGTGCAAAGCAGATCTTCCAAGATGAATGTAGACTCCGCAAGGGATGGGATGCGGTAATAGAGCTAGAGCACAATGAAAGATGGACAAAATGGTTATCAGAATTGAATCTCATCGAGGGATTTTCAATACCAAGATGTGTGACCCCAGAAGGTTTCGACAAAGCACTCTCTGTTGAATTGCATATCTTTGCAGATGCTTCGAGTGTAGGATATGCAGCTGTGACATACCAGCGAATGAAGAATGCCGAAGAACAAATATGGTGTTCATTCCTGATGTCGAAGTCTAGATTGGCTCCAATCAAAAGTGTTACGATTCCCCGTCTTGAACTGTGTGCGGCTGTTCTCGCCATAAGATTAGATGAGGCTTTGCGCAGAGAATTGCGCATCAAGATAGAAAGGACAGTATTTTGGACTGACAGTATGATAGTCCTACATTTCATCAAGAATGAGTCCCAAAGGTACGAAGTGTTTGTAGCCAATCGGGTCACTACCATTCGAGAAGGTTCATCACCAGAATGTTGGAGACATATTGAATCATCTCAAGATCCCGCTGACGCAGCCTCCCGTGGGCTAGATACCGCTGCTATGCTGAACCATAAAAGTTGGCTTCAAGGACCAAGCTTCCTATGGCAGAATAAAGAGACCTGGCCAGAACAACCTCCAGTATTGAGTGTATCCACAGCTCAGCTGGAAATCAAGAAAGCTAAGGTGAACTTCGCTAAGTCAAAGAATGTTGACTTATGTACAGATCAACTCCTGAAGAATTATTCTTCGTGGTATCGGCTGAAAAAGGCTGTAGCCTGGATTTTGAGACTCAAGAAATGTCTCATGGACAGAGTCAATGAGAAACAAGTAAATGGGAAACAGAAGACAAAGCTTTCACTGGAACCTCTGAGCGTCTCTGAAATGAAGCATGCTGAAATGGCAATCATCAAGTATGTGCAAAGATCAGCATTTCCAGTGGAAGTGGAGTTTCTCATGAATGCTCGTCCTGTGAAGAAATCAAGTCCTATCCATCCACTTGAGCCATTTCTCGATCAGGACGGTATCCTGTGTGTCGGTGGAAGGTTACAAAACGCACCTATCCCTGACAAGTCCCAACATCTTATGATTCTACCAAAGGGACATCCAATTGTCACAATCATTATCCGAAACTGCCATAAACAATTAGGACATTCGGGTACAGAACATGTTCTGGCCCAAGTGAGGACAAAGTATTGGATAATAAATGCCAGAAGCACAATCAAGAAAACTTTAAGAGACTGTGTCCAATGTAGGAGACTGCAAGGAAAGCAGTCAATTCAGAAAATGTCTGATCTTCCTAAAGACAGAGTTACACCGGGCAAACCTCCTTTTTCTCATGTAGGGATAGATTGCTTCAGCCCGTTCTTGATAAAGCGAGGACGCAGTGAAGTGAAGCGATACGGGTGTTTATTCACTTGTTTGAACACCAGAGCTATCCAATTGGAAAAGCTTGATAGCATGAATACGGATTCCTTCATTAATGCTTTCAAGCGTTTCCAGGCCCGTAGAGGGGCTCCAGAGCTAATCCGTTCTGACAACGGATCTAACTTTCGGGGAGCCGAAAAGGAGTTAAAAGAAGCCATTAGAGACTGGAACCAACAAGTGATCCAGGAGCATATGCTTCAGAAGGAAATTACCTGGATGTTCAACCCCCCAGCAGCATCTCACGTGGGTGGCGTCTGGGAGAGGCAGATCCGGACTGTTCGGAAAGTGCTGAATGCTCTGTTATATCAGCAACACAGTCTACAGGATGAAGGACTATCAACCTTGCTGTGCGAAGTAGAGTCAATAGTAAATAGTAGACCTATTACTGTAAATCCTGACAATCACAAAGACAGTGAACCTCTGACTCCTTATCATATCTTACTCCTGCGATCAGCAAAGTCTGCACCACCAGGCAGATTTTCACTGAAGGACAGATACTGTAAGCGCTGGAGATACATCCAGTCACTTTCAGATCAGTTCTGGTCTAGATGGCTTAAACAATATCTGCCTACTCTGCAACTCCGCCAAAAGTGGTTCCAATCAACAGTGAACTTGAAAGTCGGAGACATCGTTCTGATCATGAATGAAAATGTCCCTAGATATGTGTGGCCTCTGGCGAGAGTCACTCAGGTGTACCCAGGGAGGGACGGCTTGGTGAGAACTGTGGAGGTCAAGACCTAGGATTCCGTGTTGACCAGGCCAATCTACAAACTGTGCTTGTTGGAATCTGCCTGTGAAGACAGACTGTGAATGGACTGTTAAAGGACTGTGAACATCAAGAACTATAACTCTATAGACACTAAATGTGACGGGTGTGAAGTAACATATTTCAAGTGTTCAAGACTTAGCATAATTTAGTGTTCGTTAAATGTCCTACATTTAAGGGGCCGGAATGTTAGATTTCAAGCATTATTTTTTAGTTTTCATGGCCTATGAAGTCATTTTATAGGTGCTTCATTTAGCATTTTGTCCAGGTTTTTTTTTGGTTAGTCCCGGTTATCTCGTTAAAAACAATCATGGCTACGGCCAGTCGCATTTGTTGCATGTTTCAACTTCATGTAGGGTTCAAGGGCATATAAATTTGTAAGTATGCTAATAATGTTGTTAATATAACCTAATTGCAATATCCAAATGCCTAAAGTAATATCAGTAAATATTTCTTGAGAATTGCTAAGATTTAGTGCACTAGTTATTTTCGATGTTAAAATCCGGAAAGCTGTAATATTTTTTCTTGTAGTATTTTCGACAGTTACTTATTATTGTGTTTCTGTTTGTTTAAGCTTGCACCTATTCAGCTGTGAAGTTTGCTCATTAATAAGCAATAAAGGCTGGATTGAGTTCAAGATTTGTGGTCCCTATATTTTGAATCCTATAATATTGGCTAACATATTAAGAAATTTAATGAGAATCCTTCAAATGCATTTTTTCTGAAATCCTTTCTCTGTGAGGTACGTAAGTCCCGAAACATTTTGACTTTTCTTCAAGAGAAGCTGTTACCAGACAACTGATGAAGCATATCAACCTCCATGACATCCTTGATGACTATCAGTCTGCTTATCGTCAGCAGCATTCAACAGAGACCTTGCTCCTGAGAGTTGTTAATGATCTCAGGTGTCTAGTGGATTCTGGTGACATGGCAACGCTGACTCTTTTAGATCTCAGTGCAGCGTTTGATACGGTTGATCATTCCAAGCTTCTGGATATTTTACAGCATCAAATTGGTATCAGTGGAACACTGCTCTCTTGGGTTGCATCTTATCTCCATGTCAGGCGGCAGTCTGTATATGTCTTGGGACAGTTTTCGGATAAGACAGTGCTCTCGTGTTGAGTCCCATAATATAAACAAGAATATAATCAATTAAAAAATAAATGTAATACATACAAATCCTTATTTACAGATGGGTCCAAGGATGGTGGCGCGGTGGCATGTGCCACTGTCATTGGATCCAGAACAATATCTTCTCGACTACCAAATAACAGCTCTATTTTCACAGCAGAAGCTAACGTCATATTAACAGCTCTTAAATATATTAATAAACACCAAAAATATAAACAATACATAATATTTTCCGATTCTCTTTCGTGTCTTCAGGCTATTAAACATCTTTCTTGTAAACATCCACTTTTATTAGAAATTATTGAATTGTATAGTGAGCTTGCTACTGGCCAATGCGACATCGTCTTTTGTTGGTTACCCAGCCACGTTGGCATTTCTGGGAATATAATGGCTGATATTGCTGCTAAAAGGCAGCACTCAACAAATCTGATCCCATACTCTGATTACAAAGCTGCCATAAGATCTTATATCCGTGATCTGATGCAAAAGAATTGGGACACCCAAGTAAGTATCAATAAACTACATGCAATAAAACCAACTATCGGTTACACTTACTTGGGTTGTCAGTCCAGATTTAAAGAGGTCATCATACGAGGATGTCGTATTGGCCACACAAGATATACTCATGAGTACCTATTAAAAGGTGAGGATCCTGCTTGACTGTGTTGAATATTCCATCACAAGGGATATCTATTTCAAATCACAAACTATGAAGGATCTTTTTATTAATTTAAGTTCTCGTTTAATTAATGCATTTTTAAAAGAATAAGACTTGTTAACTGATTTGTAAAAAGATACATATTTTATTATTGGTAGTTTAGATTAGTTCCTGAGATTGTTAGTGGCTGTACCCTCAAAGGGGGTTGAAGTAGCGAAAAATTATTGTCCTCCTGCGAGGGTACGTAAGTCCCGAAACATTCAAAGGAAATTTAAATATTACCAGCTGTTTTAAATGTAGTATTCTTGTCTTTTTAATTTTGGCTAAATTTGACTCCAATCGCCAGCGGCTGAAGGGGTGATATAAATCCAACTAGGGCCCATGCAGGTTGCAAAAGTACTGTTTGTCCCCATGGTCCCTAGTTTGGTGATCTACCTTCAATTGTTGGCGATCTATAGCCAGTTTTTATATTGTATTGTCCAAATAGTGCTATTAGTTTTAATTTTCCACACTAGTTTTAGTTGTAATTGTGATATTCTAGTTGTTTTACTGTCCTTCGTCGACAGTTTATTGTATAATATACATCTATTCCATTTCAATGTCGCATATGTTCTCGTCACGATATGGCTGAAATATTGCCGATGTGAAGTTAAATAATAACTCACTCATCACTTTCTTCATTGTCATTGCCACACTCTTCATCACACTCTTCATTGTCCTCGTTACCACTATGCAGTTTCTTCAAAATTCCTGCTTCCCAGTCGATACTTTCTGGGTCCTCTGTCAGAATGTCACAGTCACAATTCACAAACTCTTCCACCTTACATGCGCTACTTGTCATGTTTGTAACAAGCACAACCAGTGGAATGTCATCTTCTTCATTGTCCGATTCTACAGAATCCAGTGCACACGTTGAAAGCCCGCATGCACTTAAACACTTCAAGATTGCCAAACTTGTAGTATCCTGCCAAGACTTGTGGATCCAGTGCACAGCGTCTAACACATTAATGTTCTTCGAAAGTTCAGTCACACTGCTGCATGTGTCGATCCGTGATATCAGGGATTTCATCAGAAATTTCCTATATCGATGCTTGAAGGCTCGAATTATTCCCTGGTCAAGACGTTGGAGAACTGACGTTGTGTTTGTCAGAATATATTTTACAGTAACATTGCTGAGCACTATGTCTTGAGGGTGGGACGGAACATTGTCAATGAACAAGAGGATACGCCTCCTTCTTTTCTTCATCTGTCTGTTGACTTGATCTAGCCAATCACTGAATATGTGTGAGGTCATCCACACCTTCTGATTGTCTCGCCAAGTCACGGGGAGAGTCTCCATATTAACATAATTGAAACAGCTGGTCTCTCAGCTTCACCGATTACAAGAGGTTTGAGTTTCTCATCTGTTGCACTGCACTGGAAACAACTTTCAACAAATCAAGGGCCTTCAGGCATTTAGTTTTAAGGGATTTAATATGTGGCAGAAACGTTAAGTGCGAGTCAAAAATTAAACCCAAGAACTTGGCGTCCTTAACAACTTTGATGGGTGTGTCATTTAGAGATAGTTCAGGGTCTTTATGCAGTTTGTATTTACGGCAGAAATGTATACAATTAGTTTTGGATTTAGAAAATTTAAAGCCGTTTTCCAGACACCATTTATTTATTTTGTTTAAACACAACTGCAGTTGTCGTTCAATAGTGTGCATATTTTAACCACGACAAGAAATATTAAAATCATCCACAAAAAGTGATCCATCGATTGAATCATTTAAAACCTTGGATAAACTGTTGATCTTGATACTAAACGATGTGAGAGACAAAATATTGCCTTGTGGGACACCCTGATCCTGATTGTAATGATCAGACAGGGTAGATCCCACGCGGACTTGAAATAGTCTGTCATTTAAAAAGTTAGCTATAAATTGAGGCAAACGGCCTCGCAATCCGAAGCCATGTAAATCTTTTAAAATGCCATATTTCCACGTAGTGTCATATGCTTTTTCAAGATCGAAAAAGATAGACACAGCGTGTTGTTTATTAATTAGAGCAGTTTTAACAAATGATTCCAAACGCACTAGGTGATCGGCAGTACTTCTGTTTTTACGGAAACCACATTGTATATCTGTTGTAAGGTTATTTGTTTCCAAGTACCAAACAAGTCGATTATTTATCATGCGTTCCATGGTCTTGCAAACGCAGCTAGTTAGTGAAATTGGCCTATAATTGGAAGGATCAGTATGATCACGTCCAGGTTAAGGGATGGGCACAATTATAGCATCGCGCCACGACAAAGGAAATTTTCCAGATGTCCAAATATCATCAAAAATAGATAAGAGCGTCTCTAAACATGATTCTGGTAAGTGCTTCAGGAGCTGATAATGGATGTTATCAGCTCCGGAAGCAGTTTCATGAGCCTGGTCAAGAGCAGTAGGAAGCTCGTGGATTGAAAAGGTTTCGTTGTAATCTTCCCCATTATCTGAATTGAAATTTATAGCTTTCGTTTCTTGCTGTTTTTGATATTTTTGGAATTCAGGTACATAGTTAGATGAGGTGGAATGTTTGGCCAACGTCTCACCAAGTTTATTTGCAATATCTGATTTATCAGTCAATAGCTGATTCCCATCTTTGAGATGGCGAATGCTAGATTTAGAGCCCTTACCCTTGATTTTCTGAATCATATTCCACACCTTTGATATTGGTGTGCGCGAATGGATTTTTGAGACATAGTTTCGCCAAGAGTGGCGTTTATCTTGCTTGAAAGTACGTCATGCTTTAGCGTTTAAAATTCTAAATTTGTCTTAATTGTGGACCATAGCATGGCGACGGAAATAATGCTCAGCTTTCTTCCGTGCCTTCCTTGCTTGTTTGCATTCGTCGTTAAACCATGGTTTTCGTACGTGTGGAATTGCAGAGGACTTTCGGATACACTTGTCAGCTATGTTATTTAGTTCATCTGAAAAACATTGTATGGCATCAGGAATATCATTAAAAAGTTCAGGTTTTAGTTTGTCAGCACAGAGAATTTTATACAGAGGCCAGTTAGCCTTTTTAAAATTCCATCTTGATGATGGAGGAACATCAGATGGATCCACAGGTTTCAGTATTGTTAGGAAATGGTCACTTCGACAGAGGTCGTCGTGGACTGACCATTCGAATTCACTCAATAGGTTGGAGTCAGTAAGAGACAAATCAAGAGCTGAATATGTTCCTGTGCCAGGATGTAAATACGTATTTGAGCCGTCATTATAAATGCATAAATCATTATGGGAAATAAATTCCTCCAGTAATTTACCTTTGGTGTTTTTATTAGTGCCACACCAGAGCGGGTTGTGGCCATTTAAATCACCCATGATTATACAGAGTTTAGGTAAGTGATCATAAAGAGCTTGCAGATCTGTTAGTTGAACAGCCGATGAAGGCGGAATGTACAAAGAGCATAAAGTAAAAGCAACCTGTAATGTAAGTCGAACTGCCACGACTTGAAGATTTGTTTTAAGTGGAACTGAGCTATGGATGACAGTGTTCCTCACCGGGATGGATGATCCACCAGAAGCTCTATCAACCGGAGGAGAAAAACAGTGATATGCATTGAACTGACGTAAGTCAAAGTTATCTGTCTGTTTCAGATAAGTTTCTTGGATGCAGAACGCTGAAGGTGTAAAATCTTGGTTTAATAGCTGTAAATCGTTTAAATTATTCCAGAGTCCTCTACAACTCCATTGAATTATAGGTGAAGACATTACTTCTTCGGCGGATGTACAGGAGATCTACCCCTCACCTTCCTTGAGGGTGACAAGCTATGGAGGTCGGAGGTCTGTTGCTTTGATCAAAGGTGTGGAATATGATTCAGAAAATCAAGGGTAAGGGCTCTAAATCTAGCATTCGCCATCTCAAAGATGGGAATCACATCCATGTCCTCAAGTGATCCAAACTTATTATACAGTTGGACCTGGTCATTTGACCCCTTCGGAGGTCTGTTGCTTTGATTTTTCTTATTGATTTCATTGCTCGGTCTGGATGTAGTTTTCACATTTGATTTCACATTTGAGTCTGATTTAGATGCTTGTTTCCGAGAAGAGGATGAATCCGTCTCAGAAGATGCCTTGGTCTGAACAATGGTTTGTACACTGGAAGTTACTTTTAGAGTTTTCGCCTGAATTTCAGCAGACAGCAATGTGGGAGCTGATGTTCTAGCCCATGTATAATCCGTTTGACAACCGACTGAACTGCATGAAACATGTTTTGGTTTAGAGGCCTGAACAGAAGCAGACACAACGGTAGCATAACTCGGGCCTGACTGTTCTTGTGCTAGAACAATCTGTTTTGCTTCAAAGAACGAAACGTTTTGCTCATGCTTCACTCGTGAAATCTTTGATTATAACTTCCAGGAAGGACATTCCTTCGATGAGGAAGGATGGCAACCAGAGCAGTTGACACATACAGGTGTTTTATCACAAAGGGTACTGTCTTGGCACGCTCCAGCACATCGTTGGCATGCAGCTGGATTGTGGCAAGACTTTGACTCGTGACCATACTTTTGGCAGTTATAACACCTTAAGGGGTTGGGGATAAACGTATCAACCCTTAAGTTGCAATATCCTGCTTTCAGAGATTTTGGATGAATCGAGAGACAAAATGTAAACAGGTAAGTGCTTGTCTTGAAGACATCATTATTCTTTTTTACTGTAAATCGTTTAACATGAGTAACGCCTTGGGATTGCAGTTCAGTAATGATGTCAGTTTCACTCATGTCTGACAGGCAACGTCCAGTATCACGGACGATGCCTTTGCTGGTATTTAATGTCCTGTGAGGGGACACCTCCACAGGAACATTTGCCAAAGACTTTGTTTTGAGCAAAATTTTGGACTGTATTTCTTTCCTGCATTCGATTAGCAGGGAACCAGATCTCAACTTTTTGATGTCTTTCACCTCCCCAGCCAAACCTTCAATGCCCTTTGACACGGCAAAGGGATTTAGCTTGAGAGGGCCACCGTCAGGGGCACACATCACAATGAAACGAGGCCAATTATCAGGGTTATTGACAGGTGTTTGCGCTTCATCATCTGAAGACAACGAATCATCCGATTCGTGTGAACATTTTTTCAGTGGGGGTGCCATGGTAGAAAAATATATGATTCACCCTCCTAGCTCCCCCCACCATGGAGTGTCAACAAGGACGATGCCTCATGTCTGTGGATCTCCAGCAGACGGCACCAAAGATACTAGGAGGGTATACTCAAGCAGAAAAAATCTTGAAAAGATAAATCCTACCAGATTGGCCCTTGAGCCACCGCCTTCTGGGCATTAAGACTCTAGGCAAAGTTCATGATAAACATATTACAAAATCAATTAGTGTAAATGAACAAAGGGTGCCAAGACCAAAATTTCAACAATTCCAAATCAAATTTTGTGCAGTTACATATAATCAATGCACAGGGCTTGGCGTGACCAGTCGATTGATAGAACCGGGCCAGTTCTACCACCCGTCTAGGTAAAGTTAGGGCCGAAGTGGTGTGTTGGGCAAAGGAACACTGTTCCTGGAACCAGTGCCCTCAACCACCAGAATCCCTTCCTCCACCGACACTGGGGCGCAACCCACGGCAAACGGGTTGGTGGACCAAATATACCACCGGGGTCACAACGGAGGTCGAAGAGCGCTTAGCGTTACCCAGCACCCACCACGAGGAGGTGGCTCTTCACGGGTGCCCGTGTATTTTAAGGACTACTTGACACATATGAAGCCCCAATTGTAATTTATACACGGTTCTGACGGGCTCCTGAAGAGACGAAAGGTTGAATAACACTACTCGGTATATTGAACACGCAAACCGGTCAATACTTTTACACGCAGAAAAAGTCGCCTTACTGTGAATACAGAAAGAAGAAAGCACATGCCTGAACCGATCTCACCACCAAACGCTTCTTAATATCAAGTGGTCTTACTTGATACCTTTAAATCATAATTTTTTGCTGGTTTTATAAGAGTCAAAATTGTAAGTTCAAGTAACGTTTTCAAACACTTATCATTTAATTTATTCTGAAGACAGGTCTTTAATTTCAAAGGGTGAGAGCACCTTCAAGTTCCTTAATTTGTGTAGTGATAGTCACTGTTCCGCATGATAACATCAGCTTCATCAGTGTCACTCTTCGGCATGTCATGGTCCTTTGGTAAGCCACTGTCAACTTGGCAGTTTACAGACTGTTGTGCCCTTGCAAGGAATGAACTCAAGACAAGAACAGCTTCTGGAGCAAAAGGTCCTGCCATCCAGCAAATCTTTATGTGACCAATCTCTCTCTCTCTCTCTCTCTCTCTCAGCTTGATAATTTGCTCTCGTCAA